GCCGAGCGCCTATGCGCTTGGCTCTGCTGCGCGTCTTGCTTGGGAGGCTTCCAGCGCTGGGCCCGGGCAGTGCGCTTCTGCCCTCAGAAGCTGCAGCGCACGGGTTGCGATGCGCTGGTTGCAGTCAGCGGGATGCAGTCTACACTGTGCGACTCATCTTTCTCTGTATAATGAGCGGGAAACCCCGCCATCGTGCTTGTGCAACGGCGTGGCGGGAAGGAGTCTTCACGCTTCGCGGGCCGCCATCAGCCCCATCCTGGCAAGGTGCCCAGGGGAGCTTCCCTTACAGTGGTGACCCATGCCAAGAAACACCCTGCTTGCCTCCAGGGTGCCCTGGGCTTCTCGGGTTTCGATGGTTTTTGCTGTGGGAAGCGTGACGTTCCCACACCAGAATCGATGGACGTCCTGGGGTCTCGGGGCTACGTAGGTTTCTCGTGGCAGGTTTCTTGCGGACTGGCCTCCGCCGTATCTGGGGAGCGTGGCATCCTCTGGAGAGCTCGGGGGGCCCCCGTGAACACGAGGCTTCCATTGTGCCTCTCGGCGTCTCCTCTTGGGACGTCTTGGGGTCCTCTCGGCGGTCTTCCGAGCTCCTTGGGGCGTCCTGGGTGCCTCTTTGGGGCCTCTTAGGGGCCTCTTCGGGCCCCTTGGGCGCCCCTCGGAGGGGGGGGCTGTGCTGACCCCCTGCGGGGGGCATGCTCTAAAAGTGCGACCTGGCACTTTCACGTGTTGCGATAGGAGCCAAGCATTTTTATTCGCCGCGCAAGCGCGAGCGGCCAGAGGCCTGCAATCTCACAAGCCTGCGGAAGTCCAATGCACCGTAAGCGCCCAGCCTGAACACCATCGCAGCCACAGTCGAGCTGCCTGGGAGCCGCTATCAAACCGCTTCCAGAAGTCTTTGAGAAGCCCTTTTCTAGGTTTCCTTGCGGAGCCCTCTAGGTTTCCTGACCGAGCCCTCTGGTATCCTCCCAAGAGCCCGCGAGGTTTCCCGAGGCATTTCTCCAGGCTTTTTCAGGACTCAGCTTGGTTTTCTGCGGGAGCCCTCGGGGTTTCCTCGACGCACCCTCTCTAGGTTTCATCAGGGAGCCCTCTAGGCTTTTCTAGTAAACCCTTTAGGTTTCCAATGCAATCCTAGAGGTTTCCTCAGGCGGGCGGTCGCGAGGCTTCCTCAGAGAACCCTCGAGGCTTCCCCAAGGGAATCCTCCAATATGTCTTCCGGATTTCCTCTGGGCTTATTCAGGGATGATTCCAGGTTCTCTTTGGAACAATGAGTGTATCCTGTGGACTCCTTAGGCTTCCTCGCGGGATACTCTCGGTTTCCTTGGGGTCCCTCCCCACAGGCCTGATGCGACAATTGCCACTCATAGAACTCCCTTTGGAACCTGTGTCTCCGTATGGACCCCCTGGGTGTCCCGAGTATAATCCTTCGGGTGTGCCGAGCAACCCCTTCCAGGCTTCTGCAGACGTCGCCTCGGCATCCGGGAGGGGTTGCCCCAGACCGCTGGGGCCTCACCCGCCACTGCGGCTGCACCTGCTGGGACCTCCCTGGCCCTGGGTCTGCAGGCGGGCTCGCGTCCTGCGCGCCCCTTGCAGTGCCGCCCCCGGCGGACTCTCCAGGACATCCGAGCTCCGAGTTCCGAGTCCCCGGGCCCTGCTGGGATCTCTCACCCGCCCCGCCGTGCTCTGGGCCTTCAGGCTCGAGTGACTCGCCAGCCGGCGCGCGGGGCGGGCACGCTCGGAGGCACGGGCGGGCACCGCCCCTTTCGGGAGCTCCACCAGCGGGTCCGGTGGCGGGCTCTGGTGCTCGCCCAGGCTGCGGAAGGAGGGGCTGAGATGCTGCCTCCCGCTCTCTTCCCCCCCTCCTCCTGATCCACCTTCCCGGTCCTCCTCCCGACGGAGGGGGTAGCTAGGGAGACCTTCCCTCCTGGTTGTCCCTTTTGTGTGATCCTTCCTCCGAGCCCCTCCTCCGCCAGATCCTCCCTTCAGCACACCTCCTGCTGCTGCTGCTGCTGCTGCTGCTGCTGCTGCTGCTGCTGCTGCTAACGGTTGATGAAGGTGATCCTGCAACCGCGTGTCTTGCCGAGCGCCCTTCGTCTGAACACAGAGTGGGTCGGGGGCTCATGAGGGAAAAGGTGAGACGCGAGAGGTAAGGCAAAACTGTGGGACTCGACTCCAGTAGAGGAGTAAGGGAGAGAAGGAGAGGATACATCATCATAACATAACATCCATCGGGCGGAGGAAGAAGAGGTGGAGGTATACGGCAAAGCACAGATGGCAGACGTAGGTGGACCCCTTAGGGCCCTGTCTTGAGTCCCCCCCCATTTGGGTCCGCCGACCACCCTCTTGGGGCGCTCGTGTGGACAGAGGATGGGAGGTGGGTGGGGGTGGGCAGTGAGCTTGTCGAAGGTTGTTCCTCATGAAAGGTGCCAGTGGCCCTGCTGGCCCTGTAGGCGGTTGGATCTGCAGATGCGCTGGGTTGCACAGAGTTGGCCCTGTTGGCCAT